TGAGCAAATGAAAATCATGTAATTTCATTTTATCGACTACACTTCAGGATAGGTGGAAGCAATCAAGTGCTCTCCAAATGTCACTGAATCACAGAGCTGGAAGGAGTCATTTAAGTCATCAAGTCCAACTACCTGTCACAGCAGGAATCCAAATTGAATTGAGAATATTCAGCAAAGAGGAGCTCACCATCTTGTCAATCATTCGTTTCTTGCTGATTTGCTCCCATTTTTCTTTTTAAGATTCAATTAAAATGTGTCTTCCTGTGCCCGGAGATGAGTGTTTTTTCTTCTGAATAATATATCTTTTTGGATATTTGTGGGTGCTATTGTATTCTCAGGACTAAACAAACCCAGTTCCTCTAGTCTTCCTCATTTTGTACAACAAATCCTAGCATTATGGTTATTGGCAACACCACTTAAACGTTTGAGGTCATAACACAGTCAATCGCTTCTAAAAGGTTATTCAGTGCCAGCAGGGCACTGCTGGGAGGAAGGGAGTAAAGGGAGGAAGATGATGATGGAAAAAGTATGGTAACCATTTAGCAAGCTATGGGGTTTGGGCTGGGTGGTGCAGTGTTGCACTGGTTCATGAAGCTCCTTTCTTCAAGGACAATCCCAATCAGTGTTGATAGGGAATGAGAGGTCCATGATTGTTTCTTTCTGGTATGCCACAAGAATTGGTGTTCTCTCTGTTCCTTTTTAACATCTACATGAAACCTCTGGGTGAGATCATCCAACACCATGGGATAAAGTATCATCAATACCTTATCCCAACTTTTTATCTCCATTCCTGGTGATCCAAGTGATTCTATAGCTACCCTCTCGCAGTGTCTGGAAGCTATGAGGGTCTGGATGGAGAACAGCAAGCTTTAGCTGAATCCTGTAAGACAGGGTGGCTGTGAGTTTATGTGGCCTAAGGAATCTGTTGGTTTATCATCTTTAGTTCTGGATAAGGTTACATTACCCCAGATCTGGGAATTCTCCTAGGCTCACGAATCCTGTTCAAAGAGCAGGTGGCATATGTGGCTAGGAAAGCCTTTGCACAACTTTGCGTTGTGCACCAATTTTTCCCTTTCCTGGATTGTGAGGTCCTGCACAGTCACTCATGCCCTGGCTATCTCTCAGTTGGATTACTGCAATGTGCTCTACATGGGACTACCCTTGAAGATTATTTGGAAGCTACAACTGGTACAGAATGCAGTGTTGCAGAAGGTTCAACACAGAAGGAAATTGGTAACCAGCACAATTTGTGTAACAACGTTGTCACATGTGCCACATGAGGGACCTCCAGAACCTTCTGGAGGTCCCTCATGTGGCACATGTGACAACGTTGTTACACAAATTGTGCTGGTTACCAATTTCCTTCTGTGTCGAACTCAAGGTTTTTGGTCATTACCGTTAAAGCCCTTCATTGCATGGATCCCCACTCATGTCAGTGAAATAGATCTACTTCAGATCCCATCAACCAAGGAATTTTGGGTGGAAGACGGTTGTGGGGGGAGGTCTAAGAGAAGAGCCTTTCTGCTGTGGCTCCTGCCCTCTGCAATATTCTCCCATTGGAGGTGAGTCCACCCCCACACTCCTGGCCTTCCAAAGAACCTGCAAATTTGGCTCTGCTGCCAGGCTTGGGACCCCAACAGAGGCATGTTGTATTAGGAGTGAATGACAGGGTAGGAAAGATCCCTACTCCAGGCTGCCTTCTGTCTTAGTTTTTAGCTTTCTTATTTTACTCCCCTACTTTTAATTTCCTTGTATAACTTCTTTTATTTTTCATTATATTGTATATTGCCCAGAGTTACTATCAGTGAAATGGGCAGCATAAAAATTGAGGAAGGGAGGAAGCAAACAATCTACGGTGAAAGATTTACATTGGTCCATGTAACAAAGCTATCACATTCTTATTCTTCTTATTAAAAGGTTCTCTAATCCTCCATAGCAGGATTCTGAAGACTGAAGATGTCCATTCATTTGACATATATTGCTAGGTTAGCAACAGAAGCAAACAAAGCAGCCAACAACTATAGTAATAAGTGGTAGTAATTCTGAGACAATGAGATGTTACAAATACACAATCACTCTTTTCCAGGATCAGAGATGTTTAATCATTGATGGCTATTTTATAGGTAATCCTCAATTTATGACCACAACTGAGCCCAAAATTTCCGTTGCTAAGCAAGGCAGATGTTAAGTGAATATTCCCCCATTGTATGACCTTTTTGTCACAGTTGCTAAGTGAATCACTGCAGTTGTTAAGTGAACTATGTGGTCGTTAAGCGAATCTGGCTTCCCCCAGATTCCTTGTCAGAAGCCAGCTGGGAAGATTACAAATGGTGATCACATGATCACAAGACAGGGCAACTCAGGTGTGGGTTCTACTTACCTTTACTACCGGTTTGCAACGGGATCATGTGCAGATCACTTCTGATGATGTCAGGGTCAGTGGGCGGAGCCTCCCGCCCATTTTACTACCGGTTCTATAAAACCGGTCTGAACCGGGGGCAACTCAACACTGGTGCAACTGCCATAAGCACATGCCAGTTAACAACTACCCAAAAACTGATCACGTGACCAAGGGGATGCTACAGTGGTCATAAATGTGAAAATCGGTCATAAGTCACATTTTTTTAGTGCCGTCACTAAACACTCACTAAACAACTGGTTGTAAATTGAGGACCACATGTATTTTGTATTTGTTGCATGTTGTAATAATTTGTTTTGAAATCTGAAAGATCTCTACAATAGCATTACAATCCATAACGCAACATTTTTAGATGTAATTATTTTGTTTTCAACTCTTTGGGGGGAGAAATTGTTACACCTACACAGTTTAGTTCAATACAGCAATCTGAAATACTTGTTGAGTAGTTTATTATTGGATGTTTTATGGATAGTTTATTCCGGGCTTTTCTTATAACTTGCATGTACATCAGTCACAGTAAGAATTCAGAGTAATCTTAAAAGGGCAATGTTTATATCGTTCCTTCCCAAACGAGGTCACTCTGTCCCTTCTGCTCACATGCAATGCCTGTGCTAAACATTATTAGCCTCTTGTGATAGTCAATAAATATGAAACTGCGCACCATCTGGGCCAGCCCTGAAAGAGGCTTAACGGGGATATTTTAAGATATAAGAATCTCCTTTAGTGCCTACAGAATTCACTATTCCCATTCTGTCTTGTTGGAAGGGGAAAAATGCTTTTGATTATTTCCCTTATTCTTAGTCTTTAGTTCTCCTCACTACAATCAGCAACTCTGTTCTCCTGATATAAATAAAATATAAAAATACATTAAGTATAAAAAAATAAAATGTTACATAGAATGCTTTATTTTACTTATCTTTACACCTCCACCCTTTCTCCACTGACATTTCTCTTGTGACTATTTTTTAGATTTCTACATTTGGCCTAAGTTACTGGAGTCTATCAAATGGGGAAATGACTGGAGGAAGAAAAATTAGGCAAACCTGTTGCTAGTTCTCTAATTCTCTGTTTAGATCTTATAAAAGAGGGAACCTGAAAAAGCTCATGAGGAGAGATTCTGCCTCTTTCACAGAAGGTCTGGAGGAACTGATACACAAAAGTAATATTGGAGTAAAAATTAAAGTATCCACTGCTCACTCTAGATCTCTCATTTGCAAAGGTAAAAGAGAAACTAACTCTTTTCATGCCCCCTCTCCCCACAACCCTTTCAATCAAAACAGGAGCCTTTCTATGATCTACCATTCTCTTCCTTGAGTATTAGATCCAGTGAGGAATCTGTTAGATTACTAGAAGACAATTATTACTAGAAAACAATTCCGAGAGTATCCAGAGGATGAGAAAATGCCCAGTTGCAACCAATGATCAGCTAAAAACTAGGAAGAGAATGAATTGGGAGTGTATTTATAAATCCTCAGACTTTTCTGGATTTTATTGGATTGTGTTTCCTTTTGAGTCCATGTTGTCTACCCTGTTTCCCCCAAACAAGACATACCCTGATAATAAGCCCAATTGGGCTTTTGAGCACATGGCAATAAGGTCAAGCGCTTATTTCAGGCTTCAAAAAAATATAAAACAGGGTCTTATTTTCGGAGAAACACAGTATGTAATATGCAATTTGGCCAAAAGTTACTGGTCAAACAAGAATTTGAATCTGGTTTTTCCAATTCTAATATTCTATTTACTGGTTTATTTATTATTCAATTTCACATATTAATATGCACTAGGCCGATTTTATTTATATAATAAATTCATTCTCTTCAAAAAGTGTCAATCTTTTGAGTTATAAAATTTTGAATAAATTGAAAGAAAGGTGTCTAAGTAAATAAGATGACAAAATAAATTGAAAAAAGATGCTTAAGATGTCTAAATATACCGTATACTACACTGTACTGAATAAGAACATTGACAACTTCCACCTCATTCCAAAGATACTAGTAGTTATGACTTTTGTATTACACAAAAGTAATATTGGAGTAAAAATTAAAGTATCAACTGCTCACTCTAGATCTCTCATTTGCAAAGGTCTGAATTACAGCCTCTTTCTACAGATCTTCAGATAACCACATTTGCTTTCAATGTTGTGCTACTACATATTCCATACTTCCATCTCAGTTACACTCTTAAACTAGCTGAAAAAAATTGAAGCTATAAGTCCTTACTGTTGTATTTCTTCAGTGTTCACAACCTGTCACCAGATTCAAACTTTAGATATGGCTATCCATACTCAAAAGGCTTTAAGAAGTGAGATTGATTAGAAGACATATCACTGAAACAAACACAATGTTAAAAAGTTATGATATTTATGTAGTTACTTACAAAGCACATCTAAATTATATTAAAGTAACCAAAATATCTTTACAATCCCTAAGGCATGTCACAACTTTTGAGCATCCCTAATGTTTGGAAATTGAAAGCTGAAAAATTTGACATTTCAAATTTTCAATATACAATAAGACATTTTCAATGATTGGGGAGACTAGATATTAAAAAATGAAGAATAATTGTATAACCTTTCACTTACCTTTCTTACATTATAAAAATCTCGATGAGGGTTACTCTTCAGTTCTTTTAGTTCAGACATCTCATTTAGCATTTCATGTAAACCAAACTTAGATCCTAGAAAGTTAAGCCGCTTGTGGCAATATGTTTTCCTGTGAAAGAGGAACCCTCATTGGTTAATTATACTTTTATATTATATAGAAAAGAATTGTTTTACATTAAATAACATATACTGCTCAAAAAAATAAAGGGAACACAAGCAGAAGACATCCGAGATCTGAATGAATGAAATAGCCTTATTAAATACTTTGTTCTTTACATACAGTAGTTTATACACTGCTCAAACAACTAAAGGGAACACAAAACTACTGTATGTAACAAACAAGTATTTAATAAGGCTATTTCATTCATTCAGATTTCGGATGTCTTCTGCTTGTGTTCCCTTTATTTTTTTGAGCAGTATATCGCTGGGGATTAATACTGGTCAGGGACCTCTGCAGTAGAGGTCAAAATGTAAATAAGATAGTGTGAGCACACAAGTGAAACAACTCCTTTTTAATATGTGTGTCCTGTATGTAAAAAAAGGGCAGGACCAGGAGTGAAATCCAGCAGGTTCTGACAGGTTCTGGAGAACCAGTAGCAGAAATTTTGAGTAGTTCAGAGAACCGGTAGCTGAAATTTTGAGTAGTTCGGAGAACCAGCAAATACCACCTCTGGCTGGTCCTAGAGTGGGGTGGGAATAGAGATTTGCAATATCCTTCCCCCAGAAGTGAGGAGGGAATGGGGATTTTGTAGTATCCTTCCCCTGCCATGCCCACCAAGCCATTCCCACAGAACTGGTAGTAAAAAAATTTGAATTTCACCACTGGGCAGGACTGATCTCACAGTTGTGTGAACCATTTTAGCTTTTTGACATGCCCCAAGGAGCCCTGGTACAAATAACTTTGAACTAGAACTATTTTAAATGTGAAGCATCCCATTTCAGGTTTAAAATGTACTATTTCACACTAAAATAACTGTTTCTCATTCAATGGGTCATTTCCATTCTTCTGATTAAGGAGCACTTATTTATATTACTTTTCAGAAAGTGCTGGGAGTTAACCTAAGCCTAATTCACATACTATTCTTCCACTGTCTTTACATGCACCTAATAATATATTTTCAGACTAAAGCTATTTCTAAATAAACTTGCATAGGATTAGAGTTCTAGAACTTCATCAAACAGAAGTGGCTGAAGAACAACTGCAGCATTATGATTAATAAAGCATTTAATGTCCAAGCCTTATGGAATTCTTAAAGTTAAAAAGAACCATACGTTGGGCCATCGGCAATAAGAGCCAATACATGGCTGAGGTCAAGGGTGTAGGTCTGCCGATCAGGGTAAGGCAAACTTCGTGGTTCATTAAGTTCCATCATGTCTTTGTTTTCAAAAACTAAGAAGATGCCATCCTTCATCTTTACAACATAGTCCAAGTTCCCTGGAGAATCATCAAGATTATAAGGATCTTGCAGTTCTTTCGGTGGTGGATGGAAATCTGTAAAATATCAAGGTCAGACATTCTAGCATCATTTAAAATACAGACTCATTCTATCATAGCTGGAAATTAAATTGTTAGTAATCAATAGTTTTTCTTTAAAAAAGAACCTGTATGCTGTATCATACTGGTCTTATTGTGAAATAGTAACTCTGCTTAACGGCTGTAGAGATTCTCAGTCATCCAGGTCATGGTTGTCCCTAAGGTGATTTTTCAGGAGGCAACTGGACTTTCTTGTTTTTTCTTTGAAGACATTTTGCCTCTCATCCAAGAAGCTTTTTTTAAAAAAAATTATTTTATTGATTTTCTATTAAATACATTTCTTAGTGCTTAATAAACGTTGTGTTGTCTGGGTATTTAATTTATTTAACAATACAAATTACATTCTTAATCTTCACCCCTTTTCTTCAGCCATTGGTAAAAAAAATTCCATGTTTGATAGTATTCTACATCCTCTTTCTGTTTAATTTTCAATGTCAATCCATCCATTTCCGCACAATCTAATATCTTCTTAACTATTTCTTCATCTCGTGGTATATCTTCATTTTTCTAATATTGTGCAAAAATAATCCTCGCTGCTGTTTAGACATGTAATATTAAATACATACTTTTCTTATCAAGTTTTTCTGATATTATATCTAATAAAAACAGTTCAGGTTTGAAATCTACATGTTTCCCTATCATCTTTTCTAACCAACTGTGTATCTTTGCCCATATTTTTTTTGCTTTGTCGCAAGTCCACCACAAATGATAAAATGTGCCCGGGTTTTTTTTATTACATTTCCAACATTTCCTAGCATATTTTTAAAGCTAATCTAGCAGGTGGTAAATGCCATCTATATAACATTTTATATAGATTTTCTTTATAAAAGGTTGCCATTGTTAATTTATAATTCCTTTCCCATAAGTTTTGCCATTTCTTTAGTTCTATATTATGGCCCCAAAAAATTTCCCATTGTAGCATTGTATCTTTTATTTGTTTATTTTCCATTTTCAAATTCAATAAGAAGTTATATACCTTCTTAATTAGTTTTTCATCAAAGTTCAACAGTGCCTGATCAAAAGGTGTTTGTCTTTTATAGAAACCGTACTCCTTCATGTCTGAATCATATCTAGATTGTATTTGCAATTTTGGCCACCATGATAATAATGCCCTGTTCTTCAAGCTCTTGTTTCAATTTTAATTTCCTTACATTGTCCAAAATGTCTTTATAAGTAACAATTTTTTAAAAGTTCACCAAGTTTGGGTATGTAAAAGCTTCCATCTCATTCTGGGATTTTCAAATATATTTTAGGTTTTATTTTTTTTCCCATACAGATATTAGTGAATTTCTTATATTGTGATTTTGGAAGTATCTATGGCTTTTTTTCTTCTCATACCATAGGAAGGCGTGCCATCCCAGTTGTAAATCATGTCCTTCTAATCCAAGAAGCTTTTTCTGCTCTGACAGGATAATGGAGAATGGAAGGATTTATATTCCTTGCAGACAGCTGGTCATTTGCATCCTTTTACAGGGTCATAGTCACAGATAAACCTCCAAGTGCTTCAACATAGCCATCGAAGTCACAACCATGAGCTGGATGACTGAGAATCTCTACAGACTTTTAGCTATACAATTTGGAATGAACACCCTTTGAATGGTGTAGGAGCAGGAATGGATTTCCAGAGAAAAAATTGCAGACTACAGGAAACAGGAGCACTACTCAGGTGACCCTGAGGACACAGATAAACCTCCAAGTGCTTCAATGACTCTCTAAAACAGTGGTTCTCAACCTGTGGGTCGTGACGCCTTTGGGGGTCGCCTAAGACCATCAGAAAATACATATTTTCGATGGTCTTAGGAACTGAGACACCACTCCCTAACCCTCCCCCTCCCCCTCCGCCTCTGCTGGAGGGCTGCGTATCCCAGCGTGCAACGTGGTGCCCCCACCCTTTAGCAGAGAGAGAGGAGAGAGGCTGCGTGCGTGTGTGCGTGCTAAACTTTCTATGCACACTCGGTGGATGTAATAGTGGTGCTGCAGCGAGCCGGGGCCCTCTTTTCCTCAGGAGACAGCGGAGAGCAAGGGGCAGGTAGGCGGGCAGGCAGGCAAGCGAGCCGCTTTTGCAGGAAGTGGCACTTCTGGGCTTCGGAAAGGGAAGGGAAGCCGCAGGGATGGACATCCACTTGAACTTTGGGCTGCTCTTGCTGCTGCTGATCGGGCTGTGCGGCAGCACCATGTACAAGTGCGCAGATGAGCAGAGCAGGCGGCCCCAGCGCTGCATGCCTGAGTTCGTCAATGCTGTTCTTAACGCCACTGTGTTAAAATAAGCCTCTCCCCAAAAATAAGCCCTCCCCGAAAATATTTAAACGCAGAACTGGAAATCAGGTAAGACAGCAAGAGGAGCCCCATCTTTCTCCACATGTCCCAAAATAATAAGACCTACGCAAAAATAAGGCCAAACGCTTATTTCAGGGTTCAAAAAAATATAAGACAGGGTCTTATTTTCAGGGAAACATGGTATATTGGAAAGAAGACAAAAAACACACATCTCCAAGAGGGTTAGCTCTGAAACAGCCATTCTCTCTATATTTTTAAAACCCAAATAAATTTTAGAAGCAATTTTTAAAGTAATTAAAGAGGCATTAGCACTTGTACCAAAATGATAGCAACATGTTAGTAACATAAACCCCATCCTTTCCTACATGCGTGTGACATCATGGCAGATACATTGGAAAGGCAGAGCTTGTACTGTTTTCATTATTTGTTCCCCTTGACCCATATCCTGCAGACACTTCTAATATTTAAGATTCTTTTTCACCTTTCAGTCCAAGAAAGAGCCAACAACCAAATCTGATTAGGATATAGAAAAAATATTCACTATTCTAAAGATTTAAAAAGGGGAGTTATGCTCTCACTTAATGATAACTATCTTTTCTTCATATTCTATTTTAATACTTTTCAATTGCACCTCTATATTAATATAGCAGATTATGTTTTTTCTTGCTTACATTAAGTACCATTAACTGTTTTATTTTGGCATGTCAATCTCTTCTTAATGTCTAGGGAAAAAAACTAAAAGCAAGTGAACATTATTTTTTTTAATTAGAGCTAATTTACCTGGGAGCACTTCATCTTCAGTTTTCCATTTTTCATTTTTCATACTGCATAAATATTGTGCTGTCGTCCTTGGAAAACGATGGTAAGCAAAGCGGCAATACTTCTCTCGAATAAGTAAAGCTTTTGCTAAATTTCTGGCAGCTTGTTCATAATCATCAACTGTAACCTAAAGGGAGAGTTATACAGTTAATAATTAAAAGTATAATCCTAATCCAAAATGAATGTACTTGGAAGTAAATTATGCTTCTCTTTGAAGCAATACACCTCTGCCAGACTACAGGAAAATCCCAATAGCCTCCTTGCCTGGTGCAAGGACAGCCCACTAACTATTTTCCAAAAACATGCCACAGAGTCTATCTCACCATCTTCCCACAGGGGACAGTGCCCAAGGATGGCTTAAACTAAAAGTTCTGGAAGTGGTGTTTTCCCTAACATCCATCTTCAAGACACACTGTCTACACCAGGGGTCTCCAACCTTGGCAACTTTAAGACTTTGGACTTCAACTCCCAGAATTCCTTAGCCAGTAAAGCTGATTATTAGTCCACAAATCTTAAAGTTGCCAAGATTGGAGACCCCTGGTCTACACAATGTAAAGAGTGTTGACGGACTTCATAAAAGTAGCCTGAAATTACATGCTCTGGGTTGGCAATATTGTGACTCCAACTAGAATGGCACAACTTGCCACAGCCAACTTGCCATTGTCAACTCGCTGTAGGACAGTTCACCACAACCAACTCATTGTGGGACAACTCTCTGCAGAACAATTTAACAATTCTATTTAATTATTTAAAATAAATTTTATTTTTTTTAAAAAAAAATTCCATTCACATTTCATTCTCTCCCTCCTTTCTTTAATGATTCTATTCTACTATTTCTTTAATATTAGCGTATGTCTTGTCTTGCAGTGAGTTGTCCTGCAATGAGTTGGCTATTGCAAGTTGTCCTGCAGTAAGTTGGCCATGGCAAGTTGGCAATGGTGAGTTGCCATGGTGAATTGTCATAGACCCGACTCCAACTAGTTCTGGTGTTTCCTATGGAATAATTTCCTCCCATTTCATCCCTGAACTCCTTCCCTATGTTCCACTTCTCTTTTGGCAGTAAGAGAGACCAGAACTTTTGCAGCCAACTTTTTTTTTTTAAATGTTGATCAACCAATTAACTGAATGTAAAATCCTGGCTTACAGCATTAGTGGACAGTATAAAGGCTCAGCTCTTGAACTTCTGTAGCCTGTGGGGTTGGGACTTGCATTTCTGTGCGGTTTCAAGTTATTCCTGATTTGTCGCTTCATCTTCTTACATACTAAGAATACTTTGTAATTCCTATGCTCATCCTTACAGTTAACCAATTCTCAAATTCCATCTGTTTAGCAGCACTTGTCCATTGGGTAGATGGAAACTAAGAGATACAAAAAGCCAGACTCTCTCTGCCAATTAGTCAGAGGTGGTATTCAGCAGGTTCTGACCAGTTCTGGAGAACCGGTAGCAGAAATTTTGAGTAGTTCGGAGAACCGGTAAATACCACCTCTGACTGGCCCCGCTCCCATCTATTCTCTGTCTCCCAAGTCCCAGCTGATCAGGAGGAAATGAGGATTTTGCAGTAACCTTCCCCTGAAGTGGAGAGGAAATGGAAATTTTACAGTATCCTTCCCCTGGAGTGGGGGGGGGAACGGAGATTTTACAGTATCCTTCCCCTGCCACGCCCACTAAGCCATGCCACACCCACAAAGCCATGCCCACAGAACCAGTAGTAAAAAGAAATTGAATCCCACCACTGCAATTAGTGGTTCATAGCCAAACAGTTAACCAGTCAACTCACAGTTTCAAAACATGCTTTAAAGTTAAATTGGTCAACAGTAAAATAGAAAAGAAAAAAAGCCTGCAGTGTACAAAGTAACCAATTTGTACCTGCCAACCAATAAGTGGGCAGGCATATAAATGGAACAACAAATAAATAAATTCACATACTAGATGATATTGGGCAAGGCTGGAATTTCAGTTGAGATAGCCAACCATTACAGCCATTAATGAGTATATGGTTAGACGTATTTGATCATTTATTATATGTTAGATTAAAATTATGAGAAGAAGTTTTTTGGATTAGTGATAATTAGCATTCTAAGACAGTTTAAATATTGAATATTCATTTCAATTAGAGAATAGTTGTTATCTTTGTACTGAAATGTGTCAGAAGTCACTTTTTTAAAATATTTGATGTATTTTTTGTCAACTTTTAACTTGTCCCATTATTCTCCTCCCTATTTTCCCTTTATGTTAATTTGTATTTTAATGTTTGTTTATGAAATACAATAAAATATTGACTCAGCCTTCCATCCTTTCTAAGGTGGGTAAAATGAGGACCCAGATTATGGGGGCAATAAGCTGACTTTGTTTAAATATACAAAAGTTTGAAGGCTATTGCTTAATGCATTGTAAGCCACCCTGAGTCTCTGGAGAAGGGCGGCATATAAATCAATTTTTTTTAAAAAAAAAATGTTTGTAAAAAAAAAGAACGCTGCATGCCAAAGTTGAATGAACACAGTGCAGCACAGACATATTGGAGACACATAAGGATGCAACTGTGGGGGTATAAATATTTAGAGCAGGGATGTTTTCCTGCCAGCTCTGGGGTGGGAAAGCAGATGTGTGCATGCAGCCTATATTATTCAAGAATGCAAGTGGGAGTCAATTCACAGAATGCTCCTTCATTCAAAGGAATTCCCTGCATATAAAAAGCTAGAAAATTGTGACAGAATGCTTCTCACTAATGCCTTATTAAGTATGTTGTGTGAAAATGTTGTACAAATGGGTATTTAATTATCCACCTTCTATCTGCAGTCTGACTAAGATTTATCACTTCAGTGAGAATCAGAGATAAAGATCAGATATTTAAATTTTAAATCAGATTTAAAATATAACTTTGTAAAACAATGTGATTAAGACCTCAGCTAATTCAGTAAATGCAAAACACATTTCCAGAGCTTTGGCTATAAATAATGGTTCAAGAAATTATATCCAGGTCTAGGCTTAGTATCTGATTTCTGAGGATTTCTTAGAAAGGATCCTTTCAGCTTAATGAACACTGTTACTTCATATCAACACATCATACAAGTGAAGATGTAATATCCTATTTGTTACCTGAAGCTGGGGGCCTCTGGACATTTCCCACAAAGTTATCTAGTTATTTGACTCCAACTTCATACCTATTCATATTCCTAGTAATAATATCCTGCAAATGGAACAAGGCCAATATATGTCACTATGGAAAGTATGCTTGGACTTCCTATTTTAGGTAATGTCTAGTCATGTTGTTTAGCAGTACATGCCTCCAGTTGACGATTAACATGAAGAAAAGAGTAAAAATAAAGGTTGTCTTTAACTACTACAGGAATCCCACAGGACAAATTGTGTACTCCAAATCTATCATTTGGAATACTGTATTTCTATAGTAGTATATTATATCTTTATTCATTGCAACAAAGCTATTGACCAGGACAATTTTCCCATGGTTGCTTAAACAATTCTACACAAGCATAAGCATCATAAAACAAAAATTTAATTTCATGTTATATATACAATATTTAATTTATAAGAAAAAAAATCATTGCCATCATCTGTCTGTTTGCTTACCCCAGCACAGTAATCCCCACTAATTGTAACTCTTTGAAATTCTGGAACATCATATGTCCCTTGGATAGGTTGAAAGGCACCTGGAAGAACTGGAGTAGGAGGAGACACAGCCGGAGTAGCTGATGGAGGCTTCCAGTCTTGTAATGGAATTTGTAATGACAAGGACTGGGATCGAATCATCTTGAAACTTTTCTTCCTAGGTATTCATAACACACAATATAAAGTCAACAAGACATCAATTTAAGGCAACAAATAGTCTCTTTGCTCTGGAAATCTTCTAAAGAATAATATACACATTTCTTTAGTCAAAAGGCTTTTTTTCTACTTCATGAATCCACTATGTTACTTCTGTCTCATGTAGAAATCTCATTGGAAATATTCAAAATGGGTATTTATGAAAAATATTAAGGATTGTAAAATATGGTACTAGACAGACTCTGCAAATGTGTTAGACAAATGGTCTGTTGAGACTTCAGTACAAATTCATTTTACAATGTTTATCAAATGAGCAATAAAATCTTGTTTACACAGTATTACAGTGTAAACCTTTTGACTGTTTGAATGAATTTAGAAGTCATTTTCTCCACATTAAAAAGCAATACTTTTGTTTAATTAAGTTGCTAAATATTTTGACAGACAGGAACGTAACTAGAAGGGACCATTTATGTGATGCCCATAAACATCTTTCGTATTTATGTCTCAGCCATCTATTTACAGCTGTTCATTGATTACTTGTCAACGACAAGTAAGATAGAGTATCATAGGAACAACAAGGATGAACTTCAACAATAGTCAAAGAGTGAGCAATTAAAAAAAACTTAATATGCCTTTACCAAATGGTTATCTGCAGGAATGAGCTTGAGTTTTATGTAGGCTCATTTGCACACAAGCTGTATAAGTAGTAGGATCAATTGGACTCCTGATTCGCTCACTTTCTATCTGTATAAGTTGATTTCATTTCTAATTGGCATTCCCTATCTTCAGTTTAACTGAATAAGCCAGAGGTGGGTGGCACTGAATTCATATAAATAAGAAGAATGCACAGAAAACAGAAGACAACCAGGATCAAGCTGGATAAACTCAGTTACCGTGGCAATGGATGTACTGTTGAAATGACCTGAAAGTTCAGGACAGATCATCATGGAGAAAATATATTTATAGGATTTGCAACTGGATGGCACATTATGAGTCAATCAAGAATACATCATCAAAAAGACTAAAATCATATAAAAAGCCAATGGCAGGATTAGAGAGTGACAACACTTCATATTATATCTGATGGCATCAAACAACTGTTCTTAGCAAACCTCAAATCTCATTACTAAACATTCTTCCATCAAAGCTACCTTTTGGTAGTTTCCAAAGACTGTTGTTCTGCCAATTCCTTCTGAAGTTCTCTTTCTTTAGCCTCTTGTTGCCCAATAGGACAATCTTCAGGCACAGTGAAAAGTGACAAGGCATCTTTGCTATCTTCTTCTCGAAGAACCTTGGCAAAAACCTTTTCAGCTAAGATTCGCACTGACTCGTCAACTTCAGACATATTTAACTTTGGGAATTGTCTGGGCATCTCTGCTATGAAAAACACAAAATGTATTAATTCTGCTATTTCTTTTATTAATATAAAATGTAATAAATTCACACCACTCTAATAATTTACAAAAAGCACATTTTACCTTAAATTCTTCCATTTTCTAATCATCCTAGCAAGCTTTTCTTATAGCCAATCTTATAAACCAATTTTAAAGACTTGAATAGCTCAGCAGGAATTAGTAAAATTAAGTAAACTTCAAATATTCCTTTGTGATATGTGTGAAAGATTTTCTAATGAAATGTTTCTTTCCAACTTCCATATTCATTATTTCTTAGTCCTAAATGTATTAGATGCAATTCAAAAAGCCTCTGCAGTTATGTAAAAAGATGAATGCCTATTTGCATTATCTGCTTATCTAGGTCTGGGAGGTGTTAGCATGTCATGTGACTATCCTAGGTCCAAAACAGGCCTCCATTTGGGACTAAGGTAACCCTCTGTCTCCATCAACTCTATCATGCAAGCTGCTTACCAGAAGCTTAACTGTTCCTTCTTGATACTTAGACAAATTCAAAGCCTTAAAAAGTCCCTGGGAAAATACATCCCTTCTGTGACTCTGACTTACTCTGTTATAATCTTTATTCTTCCCCTGAAACCACAAAGAGGATGGAAAAAGGTCTGAGACAAGTGGGTGTGGATAACCCCTCCCCATGGCCAAACACTGCAGAGTAGTGCCAACATTGATTGCACTACTGTGAACTGATAAAATATAACAGTAAATTGCAGCAGGCAGGAGTGCTTAAAAAGTAAGCAATTTAAAACTGTTTCAATTGTCCCCAATCCTGTACTGTTTGCACACAGTGTGTGTGTGTGTATGTGTGTGTGTGAGAGAGAGAGATGGGGGGGTAATTGACTAGAGAGGACATGTAGAAACAATCTCTGTGATTAAATTTAAGAAAACAATGGACCTTTTCCAAACCAAATGCAAAAACTGAGAAGAATGTAAATTTACATTGAATTGAACCACAATTCAGTGCTGACTTTATGTGCTGCCATACTATTCTGGTAAACCAACTTTTCTTAAGAATTTGATTCAGAAACAACTGAAACCAGCAGTAATAAGACATCATGGTGACTATCCAACATGAATTATTTGTTTGATAATATTGTCTCTTTCCTTCAGGGGTTCCAGACAATGTATTCAACATGCTGTCTTCCAATTTTCCCCACCGCAACATTGTGAAGTCCCAGTTCATCTTAACCAGTACACCCTACTGCTCTACATACATTTGCAACGGATATTTCAGTATTTCAATGCTTCATTGTTTCTACAGTTAATAAAATATTTATGTAATGAAATATTTAACAGCATAAAGTATATTTAGTTTTCCTTGTTTTGCACCCATATGTAGTAAGAATCAGCACACAGCACAAAATCCATTCAAGTACTTCAAAGGTAACGTAGTCAAGAATATTTACCTAGGACCAGAGACCTAAGGCTAAACTCAGTTGAAAAACTGGGTGGGCATTTTGGGTCATTCAAAGTGTATGTCTCCAAGACATACAAGCCAAAAATTGCAATTAACAAACATTTGCATGCTATTATCTTAACCTGCTGTCATGTACAGTTCTTGAACTAAATCTTAGGTTTACCACTTTGGTTAGTAAGCCGAGAACAACTGCAATTTTGCACTTAGAAACATTAACATTTGAAACTAATTTGTTACAGATTTGAAATTCTATTGTCTGTAAACCCCATCAGCAGCCACTTGGCTATAGACAAGAATAGAGTTGGGGAAGTTGTACTTTTAAGTCAGTCTTGATTTGGGGGGATGGCCTGGAAAAGTCACAATTGTTGACAATATTTTTTTCAGAACTGGCTTGTCATTATCTTCTTCCAAGTTTGAAAAGGAGTTACCAGTTGGCTTTGCATCTAAGGCAGATCTAGGAATCCCAGTCTCCTGGTTTATAGTTCAGTGCTTCAAACACTGTATCAAACTATCTCTCCCTTTAAGATTTGGGTTAAACAACCTAATATGCATGGGCATCCATTCCTTATCACAATGATGAAATGATGAAACCTATCATGACATCATTATGCAACCTCCAACATCACAATTTCACAAACAATATCCTAAGGAATGAAGTTTGCATTGTGACATGCATTGTAATCACTAATCCTAATTCCCTCTTGCTCCCCAGATCCCTTTACCCATATAATGGAATACACAATAGAACTAACATATGCTGACTTTTTGCTTAGCCACTGTTCTTAACCCAGCATAATTTAGAGAGCTATTCTGTTGTAAGAATAACACCTCAAACTCTGGAGGAAAGATACAGCATAAATTTAGTAAACCAGGCCCAACTTTTTCTCTACTCTTTTTCATTGTATTCATTATGTCAAATAACTATCACAGGGACTGGCTTCCTTTTGTTTTGAATGGAAGCACCTTGTTCCTAAAGTAAGATTATGCAAATTTATTTGAGTCAAATACAACATTTGGATTTGAACTGATATGCCAAGCACCATACTTCAAGAGTTGCAAGAAACAAGTGAAATCAACACAAAGAACTCGATTTGATTTAAATCCAATTTAATTGTAATGAATGAATTATATTCAAATTATATTCAGATGAGGTGATTACTTCAGTTTAAATGACTGTAAAATTGGAGTTGAAAGTCTCATTCATTTCATTGAGTTAAATGAGATCTTTAATTTCCCTGACTAATAACAATAAAACTTTTAAAATAGATTTTTAAAATTGAAACAAAACCAAAATCTGATATAGTTTTGATCTGAATTTTTTTCCTCAGATGTATTAAAGAATATTCCCACAAACATAATACAGCTAGTCAACTGTTGATGCAAAAATTTGCTGATCTAAGAAATAATCTAAAAATGCCAATGGGCATTTTATTAATTTCATGAAATTTGGTTAATTTCATCCTAATAGCAGTTCCTAACATTAAATATTGATCTATTCTGATACTTAATAAAGAAGTAAAGCATTTTAACTTTCATATTTCTTTATAATGAGCCTAATGTATTTTATTTCTTATTTCTTATCTCTGTAAAAAGTTTCCAATAGCACTCATTTAAAGTAATATCTTGTGATAAGCAACAAACAATGCAAGCTTTAAGTACAATCCTTGATTCTATATAGAATTATACATGAACAGAAACTTTATTATACAAGTACAGAGATTTTATTGCTGCAGTAATATCACAAACGTGTATGTGTATGTACACACATACATATATACTCCCAACGCTATAACCAGGCTTATTTGCTAAGCTAAAAAAATAAGAAAGAAGCTGGTATTTCCAGGCCGCACTTTGTTACACACACACACACACAAATAAACTTTCCAAGATTAAATTTGGTGTACAAATTCTAGGGGATGCTGTGATGTGCAGTACTCATGAACCACTGAAGCTGGCTAAATCCGATGATGTCACTGCATCTGCTTCCTCCTATATATGCTTACCAAATTCATGATCTGCAAAGTATAATCTTCAAAACAAGGAGTTGCTTAATAATAGCAAGAGAAAACGAATGAAAGCCAAGATGCTGGGAGAGCCCTGAAATTATAGCATGAAACGAATTGTTTGCCGTTTTTGAAAGATACTTTTTCTCTCGTCCTTTAAGAAACAATGCCTGCATATGCTGGGGTTGTGGTTGGTTGGCTTGTTTTTTTCCCTCCCACCCCCCAAAGTTAAGGTGATGAGCTGGTCCTCCGTTTAATCGCTTCGGAGTCGGCTCGCTCTTTTCCCCTTTCCAGACGTCGAATTAGAGACCATTTATCGAGTGAGATACACTGGGGCTTGAATATTTTATATTACAAGCTATTAAAGGGGGGGGGGTTGGGAAGATGATGTACAGAGGGAGCGCAACTGGGAGAACGCAGCCAAGCGGATGGGAGCCTCAGCCAGGGAAGGGGATTCCCATCTCACCCTCCCACCCACCCACCTACCCACCCTGTCAGGCTGAGCAGTTCTGCAGGTGCTCGAGCATGGTTTCCATCCGTCCCGTGGCCACAGCCCGTTCCCGCCCTTCCCCAATCAAGCTCTGCGCTTTATGCCCGGCCGCCTATTTTAAAGCAGCGACTCGGATACTACTTACCTAGCGTCCCAGCAGGGGCAGTCATGGTGGAGCTCGGGGAGCCGGGCTGCTTTTGGCTGCTGGGCAAGGTGGTTTCACGAGAGCCGGTCGGCCTGCTGTGGGAAGGAGGCAGAAGGGGGAGGAGCCGCCGCGGTCAGAAGCTGCCGCATACATCTCGCCAGGGTGCCGCAGCTGCCACGGCCGGCTAAAAAGCGTAGCTGTTGGCCGAAGCTGGAGCAACCCCTGCTCCGGCAAGACGCTTCTCCCCCCACACACACACACACCTCTGTCCCGTTGCAGCCCCCCCTCCCTTCTCCTTCCAAGGGCTTGGCAACAGGCCAGGCCGAGGAGGTCTCCTATGCAAATATGTTGAGTCTTTCCGGATGCGGAGAGGCTCGTCCCAAGCACCGCCGTATATGCCGGCGGACACCAAACATGCGCGCGCGCTCCTCTGGAGAACGTGCGTGCGAGCCCTACACGATGCTTTCCCCACCCCACCACCAGCACCACCTCAAACGCTGCGAGGGTTAAGCCCGAGCCTCGGCTTCCCTTCTCCTCCTCCTCCGTCCACGCTACCTTGTCACCCCCAACCCCACCCCCCATTCTCGTTACCCTTCTTGCTCTGCCCGACTGGACCGCCTCTGCCGGCATTGACAGTCCACCAAGCCCTGCTCTCTCTCGCTCGCTCTCAAGGGTCACAGTGCGTGGGTACAGGCGGCAGGACGAGCGTACCTCAGCCGGCGGCGCCCTCGGCGGTTCTCTCTCAGGCAACCGCGTAGGGAGGAAGAGATGGCTAGGTCGCCTTTTTTTCCCCTGCGACGCCAACCGGGAGCTCTTCTCCTTGAATCGGGCGTGTTGAAGAGGAAAAACTTCGAAGAAGGAGGGGGTCGCCTCCGCGAAGCCGGCTCGGTCCCCCTGGTGGAAAGGCAAAAGAGAGCTGCCGGGGCGCGGCGACGGCGACGCCTTGCAGGAAAGAGTCTTGGCCAAGGCGGAGGGCGCCTCCTGGCTGGAGTTAAAGCGCAGCCCGGCTGCAGGTGATCGCTCGGAGGCCAGGCTGGTGCGCGCCTCGCGGCGGTCCTTGAACGACGAAGCCGGCCAGCCGCGGGAAAGCTTCCCTCTCACGCGAGATGTGGGGAAGGGGAAAGGCTGGGGTCTCTCTGTGTGTGTGGAGGAAGGGATTGTTCCTGGCCTAAAAGCGGCTCTCGGAAGGAAGTCTTGGGACCGCATTCGGAGTGTGAGGCGTCTTCTTTCCACAATAAACTGGTGACTGCTGTAGCACAAGCCCATTCACAAGTTGCTTTAAGAAACGTTAGGAAAAAAAGGAAACTTAACAGTGATGGTTGTCCAAAGGTGCTTTTTTCAAGAGGGGACTGGACTTTCTGGTTTTTCTTTCTGAAGACCTTTTGTTTCTCATCCAAGAAGCTGCTTCAGCTCTGACTGGATGGTGAAAACGAAAGAAGCTTCTTGAATGAGAAGCGAAACGAAACTTATTCAAAGAAAAACCAGAAAGTCTGGTTGCCTCTTGGAAAAAAAGCACCTTTGGGACAACCATGACCTGCATGACTGAGAATCTCTACAGACATTGAGGAAGGGAAGAGCTATGCAGCCGTTTCATCTCTCCAAATGAAATCAGTGGCACTTAACATTGTGCCAGTATACTGGGATGGTCCATAAGCTCCATCACTGTAAACGTCTATGTAGATTCTCAAGTTTCTTCAGTTCAGAGATGAAAAAGCTTCTTGGATGAGAAGTGAAACATCTTCAAAGAAAAATCAGAAAAAGTCCAGTTGCCTCTTGAAAAGCATCTTTGGGTCTTCCCTTCCTCGAAAACATTGGAATTTACACGTTGGGATGGTTGATATAGATGTTGTACCCCAGAGTTGTTGCTGTGAGGAGGGTGGTAGAGGTCAAGAAGATTAATTTGTGATATGATTGCAGGCAGTCCTCAACTTACGACCAAATTGAGCCCAACATTTCTGCTGTTAGGTGAGATATTTGTTAAGTGAGTTTTGTCCCATTTTATGATCACAGTTGTTAAGTGCATCAACTGCAGTTGATAAATTAGTAATCCAGTTGTTAAGTGATTCTGGCTTCCCCATTGACCAGGTCACAAAAGGCAATCACATGACTCTGGGATACAGCAATGGTCATAAATATGGAGCAGTTGCCAAGCCTCTGGATTTTGATCATATGATCATGGGGATGCTGCCAAGGTCGTAACTGTGAAAAACGATTGTAAGTCATATTTTTTTAGTGCCATTGTAACTTTGAACAGTCATTAAATGAACTGTTGTAAGTCGAGGATTACCTGTATATGGAGATAATGTGATACCAATAACCAGGATCTGAAGACATAGAAAACTAATTCTGTACTACAGAGAGAGAAAGATTGTTCTAGTGTTCTATCTGGGTATTCTAATCCAAACCCAAAATAGTAATGCCCAAAGTTTAATAACATGTATTGTAAACTGCCCAGGGTCATTTTGGATAGTGAAATTGGAGACCTATAAATTCAATCAATCAATAAACATATTGAAGCCCAAGATCTTAGAGTTCTATAGTTCTATAAATGGCAAGACAGTTAATTGGACTTTTTATACAATTGCCTTGCCGCATTTAAGAATTGTTTTCTATTCAAAGTTGCCCCATATTTTTCTACAGGGGCTTCTGTCTTTTTTTATTTTATTGAAAACATTTAAGAAGATAAAGGTGGATTAACTCCATAGCGCCTTTTGATTGGTAAAAATTCAGCTGCTTCACTGTAAGTAGGCTTAGTCCAAGCATCTCCTATTTAGAAATAAAGTACAACTTCCAACTCTATGGAAGAAAGCCACAGTCAAGATATTGTGATGTAAGATGAGAGAGAAAGAAAGAATATATTCATTGTATTCTGATGTGAATTGCATCCCAATGGACTAAAAGTTCTTTAAAAGGATGTGAGATCCTGAATAACCACATTATTAAGAGAAAACTTAATGTCAAGATATTTGGGCAAAATGGGCATATATCTGCTTCAGTAAGATTAATGTATTCATTCTAAATTATTGTTTTTGCTCAGGCTGTGTTTCATCCAAGCTAATTTATCCCTCTGCTCATCAGTCCCAAAGAAATATATTTAATGTTTTTATTTCACTACCTCTTTATGCCAAAGGGACCTCTCCATGCTAGCATCAGTATTGTCAAGTTTAAAAAATAAATTAATGAGTCAACATAAATGCTCACTGAATATGTAAAATAAATCTCGTAGGAACAGAGTGACAGCATTGCCACACATTAGAACAGAAACAGCAAATGTGAGACTTACTGGAGTCACAGATCACTTTAACAGATAATGTAATTTGTTTTGTTTTGATTTAATGTGATATATGAATACAATCATTGTTATTTATTCAGTAGCCAATATTAAATGAGTCACTGCTTAGTACAATGTAAAAACTAGGTTGGATTCTTGCAAAGACCATAGTTTTTAAATATATATAAATATAGTTAACTAAGATAACCTTGACTAAAATATAAAAAAGCAAAGATAAACTAATAATATGAAGTAATTTTATATAAGATTGAAGAACTTGTTAACAAGCTGCTGCTCAATCTACTCTCTCCTACTAACTCCCACAAAACTATATTTCCTAAAAAGAGTGACACTCTGTGAATAAAAATTTGAATTTTAAAAATTCATCCTTTGTTTCCAGGTTGATGTTAATCAAACTACATAAAACTGCAAATATTTCTGTATCAATCTGGAACAAGGTTCAATATTGTACTGCTTAGATTGATTTTCTCCTGATGAAAATAGAATAAATCATTTTATTTTAAATCACTAAATAAGTTTTATATATAAATGGGAAATATATTGAAGATTTACTTGCTATAACATGCTAAACATAGCTCCTTTTCATCACCAACTAATCTTAAATCTTCCCACTGTAGAGTATGGCCAGGACCCAAAGAGCTACTTGAAGTTCATTCAGGAACTTTTCCCCCATTTGAAAAGCTGGCCCCGGTGTCATATTGCAAACTATTTTGGAACATCGCATTAAAAGAAGTTTGCCAGGAATCTTGCATCAAAATCTTTCTTGATTGGTGAAAATGACTTGGATTCTGGTCTGTTTTTTCAAAAAATTTGAAAATGGGTAGGGTTTCAATAACAACAACAAAAGATTCTCAATAATTTCCATCATAACATGGAATAAGCACATAAGCAGTAATCTGATCAGTCCTCTGGCCCATTTAGTCAAGGAATCTGTTCCCAAAATGGCCAACCAACTGCATAAGGAAATCTAGTAGATCTTCCTGCAGATATCCTTCACTACCATCAAGTTTAACAGCATTGATTTCCATGACTTCCACAAATTGACCCCTATCTTTAAGCCAGCCAAGCTGGTAGCTACCATCCCATCTCAAGGGGAGCAAATTCCAAACTTTAATTACATGGTGTTTTGTTTTTTTTAATCTTTTCTCTGTCCTGATTCAGGATCAGTTTCACTGGGTGATGGGAAGAGGAAGATAACTTGTCCACTTTATTCACACCATGCGTAATTTTGTGCACCTCAAGCATATCCCTTCTCAGTTGCATCCTGTCAGCCCTTGAAAGTAGTCTAGAAAAAACCCCAGAAACCTTAAGTATTAAGTCTACCCTTATTGTAAAGCTACAGTAACAAAATCTTGCAAGTATGAAAGTATTTCTACTTTTACTTTACAGAAAACTATAGAGGATCCTTTCCATTGCCCCTCTTCTCTCTTGTGGGCAGAGATATCTTTTGTCTGTCCTTGTCAAGGTTCCTGTCTCCCAAGGTTATTTTCACAACCCATTACACCTTTTCTCTAGAATAAAAAACCTCAAGTGTCTCAATCTTTCTTCAAGGAAAGCTGCTCCATCCCCATCCCTCTTATCATTTTACTGTAGATGAGCTAAACTTTATCTAGTTGCACTATATCCTTATTGACAGTATATCTGGAAAACTCATGCACCTGACAAATATTACTCAATATGCACCATGCTCTCTACTTCTGATAGGTCATAAACTTTATATAAACAGGTCATAATTTACATAACAATTCTAGACACAAGTCACAAGTGGTGTAAACTAGTCAACAGGCTACATTTCTCATGTCACATTTCTTCAAAACATGTATGGCCCTGCATGCATTTTAACCAAAACATTTATTTTGCTGTCATTGTATTTGTCATGACCTTGCTAATAATATGTAAACAGAACCTATGCAAGGGATGAAATATATTCAGCCACATAGATTTTAGATTATTAGATTTAAATCTCAGAGATTTCCTTTTATTTACTAGATTCCAGAATTTGAAGAAAGGAAGAAAGAAAAAAAAAAGCTCCATTTTTACACCAAATAGCCCTTGTATGAAAAGCTGTTCTCCACTGTCCCTGTTCAGTAAAGAAAATTACAAATGCAGGATTTTCTTAGTTTTGCTAAAGATGTTGCAAACTTCTTCTTTTTTTTTACAATTGCAAATAGGCAACTCACCAAAATCAGCACATCAAATAAGGTAAGTTCTTAAACACAGTGCTTTGGATCTCTACTTGTCTGCGAAAGTAGTTTGCAACATGCTTTCCTTACCTACTCCGTTCTATCTGCAAACTGCTTTCTTAAGTCCTAATGCCGGAGGAAATAAAAACAGTGAAGTCAGCCTCACCACTCTGGAGAGAGGGTTCTATTATTGCCTATGAGAATATTTGCTGTACCAATTCAACATCCACCTGAAACCTCTCTAATCCCATGAGACTATCTGTGTTCAAGACTGTCTGCCTCAGCTGCGATGTCTTTGAAGCTGCAGTAAACTTATAAATAACAAAACATGCTGCAGTATAGATGTGGCTTGATCAGTGGTGGGTTGGTACTGGTTTGCCCCGGATCAGGTGAACCGGTGGTGGCGGGAAGCTCTGCCCACCCACCCAGACATCTCTGCGCATGCACAGAAGCATTACGCGCGTGCGAGAGAGAGAGAGAGCGCCCACGAGCGAACTAGTAGCAACGGGATTTGAATCCCACTACTGGGCTTGATCCATTCTACTAATTGCAGGAACCTTCACTGTATTGCTCTTATCATTTCCTGGTCTTCAGATCTTTCCAGAGGCAAGATGGCTTGAAGCTGTTTCAGTTCCCCCTCATAAGAACTACTGGGACTTTATTAGTTTGTTTTGCCTTCAGCCAGGCAAGTGCACTGAACATTAGCTACATATGTGGGCTGAAATGTCGGTGGAACCAGTTGTTAAATATACTTTTTATAGGGAGTAAAGGTGACTGGGGCAGAGGTGTGATTTTTATTTCTTTT